TGCGGATGGATGAGTTGGAGTCGGATTACGGGGAGTGGGATGAGTAGAACCAAGAAATGAGCGGAACACGTGCACGTGGTCACAAATTCACTGTATTTGTCAAAGAAAATGTTCACAATAAATAAGTCACTAGAGATTGAGTCATTGAGCAACCGTAATCAATGAGCGGACCGATAATAATGAGCCGACTAATTCCTTGAATTGATAATAACTGAGCTGACACAATGAGTTAACCCGAGTCACTAGAAAAGAGCAGTCTAATAAACGAAGTGACTCTAACTTGATCCCGGAAACGAATGAGAGAGAGACACGGGCTTACAGGTGCCACGTGCCCTAATTCGATGGTCACATGACCTAATTTAATATAGATCATATGGTAATGAGGAGCTGTCCAGGACGTGGCGCCTCAGGTGTCCGAATTAACAACCCCCGGTCATCTGAGGTGAGCGCGTCAGGTGTGCGTGAGTGGGGAGAGAATGGATGAGCCTTGCGTGCGTTAGTGTGAGGGACCTGTCAGCTGACAGGATTTCCAACAGTGTCATATATTCCGCATATATTCTATAATGATCATTAATGCGGGATTTTTGGCCGGCTTTCTATATAAATCAATATCAGGATTATATAAGTGAAAGTCTATTCAACAAAGAGTTTGATTATATGTCAATAATATTTCACATATAATAAATCATAAATTTGGTGTATATCATTTATATGTGATTCATTATATGTTTCTTATAAGTCATCATAGATTTGTTGTAGATTGAAAGCTATATTTAGAATATATTGCATATGTATGTGACATATATCCTGCATATATCTTACATATGGCATTTTTGGTCGCAAATGTATCTGTGCACGTAATCAATATGAAAGTCCCATACATGTGCTTTCTGTGTGGGTAAGGGAAGAAACGTGAACCGGAAAAAAACAAATCGTTCAATTTTGCTGTTTATTGAATACAAATTTAATATCCAGCCAAGTGATGAAAACTATTATTCTGAAGGAATAATTAACATAATACCAGATAATATTATTCAAAAAAAAAAAAATGATCGAAAAGAAAGCAACATGATTAAAGTTGATCGACAGATTAAAGAATAACCTGTGATCCCTCCTCAAGAGGTAATCCATCAAATAAACAAAAAAAGTAATTAGAGAACTTGAATACTTTATGATATAAGTTAGTGAATAAACAAAGGAAAATTCTCACAGAATTATTAATCAAGTAAACTCCAAGTAAACACAATGGCCATTCTTGTTATCGTTCATTAAATGAACCAAGTAAATAAGCGATCCTTCTGAAGAAATAATAAAAATGGTCTGATACGTAGTAAATGCTTCAATTAGAATTTATCGTGGGAAGAACGGACCCAAAAAATAAAGAATAGAAGAAAAAACTCCTCCATGGATCATTAATCGAATAAACTCAAAAAAAAACAATAAAACAACAAAAAAATACTTCGATCACTAGAGATAATTCGATCTTAGTATAGTGAAGTTTCGATATGGGTTTTGTTCCTTCACTGCTCTGCTACGACACCAGCAGCAGGACCAGCAGCATCAGCATTAGCAGCAGCAGCAGCCTCTGCTTGAAATCTGGCTTCTTTCCTTAGCCTCGTTAATTTGACGTTCATGGCTGTGTGCATATCTGCTCTTTTGAATGATTGTGGGTATTCCTTCCTCACAGATACTAAAAAAAAATATATGTATACAGGGTGTTGCAGAAGTAAATGTACATCTGAACACCCTAGGATCAGGGGGTGATTCTGAGCAGAAAAGTCCGCTTGCACTTTTTGATCAGACTCACCCCTAAAAAGTTATTGGCAATTAAGNCTCTCTCTCTCTCTCTCTCTCACTCACTCTGTCTCTGTTCGCTGGAATGACGAAGAGGGGAGAATGAATGGAGAACGTCATTCCCCCTCCGCACGCAATAGAAGGACGATCAACCGATCGTGTTTCCATTGGTTACAGCGTCGAGTGGCGCGGGGAACGCGCGTCTCGATTGAAAATTGATCCCTCCACCCCGAATTATAGCTAAGGGATGAAACTTGTGTCACTTATTGAGTAGTAAATGCTCAATTCAATGACATGAGTTTTATCCCTTAGCGCCTTTAGGGGCCGGAGGGGTGAATTTTCAAAAGTGCGAAGAGATTGAAAAAAATTTTTTTTTTCAATTCAAAAATTAATTCCTCCGACCCTAACTGCGACTAAGGGATGAAATTTGTGCCAACGTGTTGAGCATTTAATACTCAATACGTGACACAAATTTCATCCCTTAGCACCTGTTAGGGAGGGAGGAGTGAATTTTTGAAAGAGCGAAGAGATTGAAAAAAAAATTTTTTTTGCAAATCCAAAGTGCGGAGATTGAAAAAAAATTTGTTTTTCAGTTCAAAAATTCATTCCTCCGATCCTAACTGCGACTAAGGGATGAAATTTGTGCCAACGTGTTGAGCATTTAATACACAATGAGTGACACAAATTTCATCCCTTAGCACCTGTTAGGGAGGGAGGAGTGAATTTTTGAAAGAGCGAAGAGATTGAAAAAAAAATTTTTTTTGCAAATCCAAAGTGCGGAGATTGAAAAAAAATTTGTTTTTCAGTTCAAAAATTCATTCCTCCGATCCTAACTGCGACTAAGGGATGAAATTTGTGCCAACGTGTTGAGCATTTAATACACAATGAGTGACACAAATTTCATCCCTTAGCGCCTGTTAGCGAGGGAGGAGTAAATTTTTAGAAGAGCGAAAAGTTGAAAAAAAAATTTTTTTCAAATGAATTCTCCAAAGTGCGGAGATTGAAAAAAATTTTTTTTTCAGTTCAAAAATTCATTCCCCCGACCCTAACTACGACTAAGGGATGAAATTTGTGCCAAGGTGTTGAGCATTTAATAGACAATGAGTGACACAAATTTCATCCCTTAGCGCCTGTTAGCGAGGGAGGAGTAAATTTTTAGAAGAGCGAAAAGTTGAAAAAAAAATTTTTTTTTCAATTCAAAAATTTATTCCTCCGCCCCTAACTGCGACTAAGGGATGAAATTTGTGTCACTCGTTGTGTATTAAATGCTCAACACCTTGGCACAAATTTCATCCCTTAGTCGCAGTTAGGGTCGGAGGAATGAATTTTTGAACTGAAAAAAAAATTTTTTTTTCAATTCAAAAATTTATTCCTCCGCCCCTAACTGCGACTAAGGGATGAAATATGTGCCAACGTGTTGAGCATTTAATACTCAATACACAAATGACACAAATTTTATCCCTTAGCACCTGTTAGGGAGGGAGGAGTGAATTTTTGAACGAGCGAAGAGATTGAAAAAAAAAAATTTTCTCAAATGAATTCTCCAAAGTGCGGAGATTGGAAAAAAATTTTTTTTTCAATTCAAAAATTTATTCCTCCGACCCTAACTGCGACTAAGGGATGAAATTTGTGCCAACGTGTTGAGCATTAAATCATCAATACGTGACACAAATTTCATCCCTTAGCACCTGTTAGGGAGGGAGGAGTCGATTTTTGAATGCGCGTGGTCGCCCGCCAGTGAACTCCGGTGACGAGTGGCGCGGGGAAAGCGCGTCTCGTTTGAAAATTCATCCCACCCCCCCTAATTATATCTAAGGAATGAAACTTGTGTCACTTATTGAGTATTAAATGCTCAATTCAATGACACGAGTTTCATCCCTTTACGCCTTTTGGGGACGGAGGAGTGACTCTCTGAACGCACGTGGTCGCCACGAGGGGATATAACATTCAATAATTTCCTGTCAAATCGATTACCTGTAAAGAAAGAAAATAAATAAGCCTTTTGCAAAGATTATTAGTGTTTTTTTTTCAAATTTTATCCTCTTTCTTTTACCCACACCCTCTTTTGCTCATATACAAGGCGTCGTCAATTGTTTGATCTCTTTTTTCCCCCTCCGCCTTTCGTGACAAACTCAACTGACGATCCTGTATTGTTTTTGAGGGAAGCCCAATTTCCATTCCGATCATTTTGCCTCGTGATTCCGTTCGTAGTTTTTATCGTGCCAATGGCGTTCACTGCTCGAGAATATCGCGATAGGCATTTTGTGTATGGTGAGTGTGGTGGAGTTGCCTGACGAGCAGCGAAGAGGTACAGGGAGAGATACCTTGATCGTCGGGCACCTGATCATCGGGTGTTTCCTCTCCTTCATGAGCGGATGGCAGAAACTGGTTGTCTCCTTCCTTGCCGTGGCGAAGGACGTCCTATCGGACGTGCTCGAGATGACCTGGAAGAGGCAGTCCTCAACGAAATCGAAGACGACCCCACGANTATCTAAGGAATGAAACTTGTGTCACTTATTGAGTATTAAATGCTCAATTCAATGACACGAGTTTCATCCCTTTACGCCTTTTGGGGACGGAGGAGTGACTCTCTGAACGCACGTGGTCGCCACGAGGGGATATAATATTCAATAATTTCCTGTCAAATCGATTACCTGTAAAGAAAGAAAATAAATAAGCCTTTTGCAGAGATTATTGGTGTTTTTTTCAAATTTTATCCTCTTTCTTTTACCCACACCCTCTTTTGCTCATATACAAGGCGTCGTCAATTGTTTGATCTCTTTTTTCCCCCTCCGCCTTTCGTGACAAACTCAACTGACGATCCTGTATTGTTTTTGAGGGAAGCCCAATTTCCATTCCGATCATTTTGCCTCGTGATTCCGTTCGTAGTTTTTATCGTGCCAATGGCGTTCACTGCTCGAGAATATCGCGATAGGCATTTTGTGTATGGTGAGTGTGGTGGAGTTGCCTGACGAGCAGCGAAGAGGTACAGGGAGAGATACCTTGATCGTCGGGCACCTGATCATCGGGTGTTTCCTCTCCTTCATGAGCGGATGGCAGAAACTGGTTGTCTCCTTCCTTGCCGTGGCGAAGGACGTCCTATCGGACGTGCTCGAGATGACCTGGAAGAGGCAGTCCTCAACGAAATCGAGGACGACCCCACGACAAGTGTAAGGAGGATTGCTGGATACCTTAATACGAATAGTACCAAGGTGTTCCGCATCATCAAGGAAGAAGGCTTCCACCCTTACCATTTGTGCCCTACATAGGAGCTGATGCCGGGAGATCTTGAGGCACGCATCGAGTATTGTCGATTTATCCTCGGCAATCATCGACGCGATCCTCATTTTCTGTTTAATGTGTGTTGGACAGATGAGTCCTGTTTCACAAGGCAGGGGATTTGCAACATGCACAATTATCACCATTGGGCATTAGAGAATCCCCACCTTGCCAGGGCTCATTCTTTCCAGCACCAGTGGCAAAGGCTAAATGTGTGGGGTGCAATTTTGTATGATGAGGTGCACATTCGATTCGCTCCTGATCCACTCAATGTAAGTATCGATTATTTATCATGACAAAGATAATTAAGATTTTATTCTTTCAATTGAAAGATCATCATTCCAGATTTTTTTTTTCAGGGGGAGAACTATCTGATGTTTCTGGAGGAAAACTTACCGGAATTGCTTGGAGATGGCCCAGGAAACAGAGGTGTGTGGTTTCAGCAAGATGGTGCTCCGGCTCATCACACCAGAGCAGTCACCGGAATGCTGAACCAATGGTTTCCAGAGAGATGGATCGGGAGAGCCGGACCAGTTCGTTGGCTTCCTCGGTAAGTGACGAGTATCTCTAATCTTCCAATAATCGTGCGCTGTTTAAAATCAAATTGCTATTTCTCCCACAGATCACCAGATTTGACGCCCCTAGATTTTTTTCTTTGGGGAACCTTCAAAGAAAAAATTTATGCGCAGGTAGTCAACGATCCGGAGGATTTGGTGGCCCGCCTGCATGGAGCAGTAGCTGATCTGACGCAGCAGCAGTTGGAGAATGCTCGCCAAGCTATAGTTCGTCGTGCAGAACTATGCTTAGAAAATGACGGTGGCCTTTTTGAATACCTGTGCTGAGCATCCCATCTACATCCACGAACCCATTGGCCCTTTTTAGGGCCAAATCCTTAAGCCCATCGGCACTTTTCAGGGCAAAATCCTTTAGCCCATCGGCCCTTTTCAGGGCCCCAAAAAATCCAACGACGGAAATCCTTGATTCTTCAATAATTCCACTCCTTTCATTTTCACGGGGCGACCGCGCGCTTTCAAAAATTCACTCGTCCCTCCCTAACTGGCGTTAAGGGATGAAATTTTTGTCACTCATTGAGTATTAAAAGCTCAAAACGTTGGCACAAATTTCATCCCTTAGTCGCAGTTAGGG